AGTGAGACTCTGTCTCAAAAAAAAAAAAAACAAAAAAACCCAACAAAACAAAACTGCTGAAAAATATTGTCTAATTTCATGGCATGTTGCCTGACAACAAGATCCAAACTTTCAACCAAGTGTAGTGTCAGCCATCACCGGTGTATATTCCCTATAAACCGGAAATGCAAATGCTAGTTCTCAATAATGTTGTGCAATAGTCATTTTTCTCAGTTAAGCGAAGGAGAAAGCATTTCTTTATAAACAGGCATTAACAGTCCAATAGTAGGCCATAATAATGAAAGAAGTGGTACAGGGTTCTTGGTGAAAGTCTCCATTGAAAAGACCATTTCCTTCCCAACTTCATTTAGTAAATTTTTCAGAGCCATTTTAAATCATTGAACAACATGGGCCCCAAGTAAGGACAAATAAACTGTACAAAAAGATCTTTCTACAGAATCCCCAAAGTAAGACACCTCCTTCAATGGCCTCCATGAAGTCTACCTTAGCCAAGCCCTAGATGAACGCCATATGTTCAAAATGGTTATTTCTCAGTTATCAGAAAATTGTTTGATTGTGTAATCTAATAGGTACTATGAAGGCCATATAAAGTTAAACAGCTGGTTCAAGATGAAGTTCTCTGTCAACAGTTCTGAAATCCAGAATTGCATGGGGCGACTGCATAAAAATTTATTATATAGTTTTGATTCCAGATGAACATGTAATAGAATTGCCATGTAGGGTTATGAATTAGAGAAGACTGAAATTATTAAGACTGGATATTTGAAATATCCTTCTCCTCCTCCCCCACTCCTTTTTTCTTTTCTTTTTGTTTCTTCTTTTTTTCTTTTTGCCAATTCTCTGACTTCCTCCTGGTCTCACTTGCTTCCCCAGCCAGCTCCAACCTATTTGTTCAACGATGATTTTATGAACAAACTACTTCCCTTTACCCTCTTGTCCCTTCCCAGCATTTACCTTGCCAACTCCCGCTCTAAATACATTTGGTTCTCTTCACCTCTCCTTGTCACTACCGGGCTAGTGAGCATTTCTTGGAGAAAGTCATAAAACCGGGCTGAGTTCTTCATTATGAGGATGTAGAGGCATCGGCATCATAGACTGTTCAAATTGAAAGAATCAAGAGAGAGCAAGTCCTATCGCCATCTTGGAAGGGAGATAGAGAGTTACTGTAGTTCACAGTAGAACTAAAAACAAGAGCCGGAGTTTCCTGACTCCCATTGCAGTGTTTTCCAGATACTGCATTGAGAAGTAGGCAAACTGAAGAGGAAATTTGTAAAATATGAGAGAAAAGAAAAAGCATTCAGGTGGTATGATTCCTGTAAAGGAAATATTCTTTAAGGAGCTTGAAACCTAAAACCATAGAGAAGGTGAAAGGTCAGGGAAAAACAGAAGAAGAAGTCATCCATGTTGGAATAAATACCAAATGAAAGGAGAAAGACTGGAATTTAAATTCAGCAGCAATTTGTATGTTTACTTTCATGATCTTGAAGGAGGCATAGATTTCGCTTTCTAACCTCAAGGTGATTCACCAAAAATCATTCCACAAATATAGAATTTTTTTGGGAAAGGTATTTTTTTTTTCATTTGGTATTGTAAAAGACATGAGATGGCTAATGTATTGCATTAGAAATGTTTATAAAGTTCATCTAGTAAAATCTTGCATAAAAATGGTCTTTCAGACTGGCAGAGCGACTAAGAGCAAAATTGCCTGACGCCACACCCGCCGAGCTGGACGACCTGGTTGACAAGCGCTCAGACTTCGCCTCTAAGTGCTGTTCTATCAATTCACCTCCTCTTTACTGTGACTCACAGGTAGGAAAATA